GCCAGGGACTCTAGTTAGACACCAGGGACTCTAGTTAGACGCAAGGGACTCTAGTTAGACGCCAGGGATACTAGTTACACGCCAGGGATACTAGTTAGATGCAAGGGACTCTAGTTACACACCAGGGATACTAGTTAGATGCAAGGGACTCTAGTTACACGCCAGAGATACTAGTTAGACGCCAGGGATACTAGTTAGACGCCAGGGACTCTAGTTAGACACCAAGGATACTTGTTACACGCCAGGGACTCTAGTTAGATGCCAGGGACTCTAATTACACGCCAGGGATAATAGTTACACGCCAGGGACTCTAGTTAGATGCCAGGGATACTAGTTAGACGCCAGGGACTCTAGTTGGACACCAGGGATACTAGTTAGACGCGAGGGACTCTAGTTAGATGCCAGGGACTCTAGTAAGATGCCAGGGACTCTAGTTAGACGCCAGGGACTCTAGTTAGACGCCAGGGACACTGGTTAGATGCCAGGCACTCTAGTTAGACGCCAGAGACTCTAGTTAAACGCCAGGGACTCTAGTTCAAGAAAGTAAATAAAAAAATCACTTGAAAACAAAATGTTGAGGTGAATTGCATGCAAATTCCCAATATATATTTTGCCTGTCTGTTTGTGTCCAATAAACGCCGAAATGAAAGGAAAGTTTATTGCTGGTCAAAAATGAACAGAAAAAAATCAGAAAAATCCTAACATTGAATTTTCTTATTTGATAAAGGAAGAAACATGGTTGCGATTAAGAATAACCATTAAAAGATAAAATGTTTACAAGAAAGAGGGGTGTGAAGTGATATGGAAGCCTAGCAAATTGAAATAGTTAAAGAGACATATTTTATTAGACTTCAGAAAAAAAATTGATTCTATGAATACAAATATTTTGTTTAGGGTCAAACTTGTATTAGCACTGAGCCTGCTAATCAGTGATTTGGAAGCTCATACTGTATACCAGAGGAATGCAAAAATTTTATTTTAAGTGAAATGATACACAAAAGTTCTAACTTTTGTAATTGTTTTTTTTTCATGTCATTTTTTTGACTAACAATTTTTGCCCCCAGCACTAGAAATATATCAGAGCAGTCTTTCTACTCTCATATTAAACAAAGCAGCAAAGTTCAAACCATTAAGAAATGTGGGATCCTTTGCAATCACTGGCAGAATATACACGGATCATTTTGTAATGCATTCAGGTCTTAAATTGATTTAATAAGGTTCCAGTATGAATTAAACTCTTACTTAAACAATACCATTTTTAGTTATGACAATACCACAAAGGTGTGCGACCTGGCATTTCTGACCTATCTAGAAGATCCAGATGTGGGGCAAAAAGAAAAAGAAATTATGATTGATTTTGATGTTCTGCCCTTGATTGACAAGATCTGTCGAGGAGGAGAACATTGTTGCAACAGAGGGAAACTGAATCTATGTGGTATTGGAGAAGGAGACTGTGACACTGATAATGATTGCTCTGGTGTACTAATGTGTGGAAAGAACAACTGCATGAAGTGGAGACCAGCAGGAGGAAGGTGGGATGAGGAAGATGATTGTTGTGAGAAGCGATGCACTCCAGAACATCCATGTGATGAAGGTGGCGGCCATTGTGATGCAGATGCTGATTGTAAGAACAGCGAACGTGGCTTTTTAAAGTGCGGAAATGACTTGTGCCTAAACACTAATTATTTTCCAGGACATATATTTGTTAGAAATTCAGAAACATTTGGATTCACAGGCACTGACAATTGTTGTTACAAACCATGTAACAAGCGCTATCATCTATGCGGACAAAATGAAGTTGGATGTCAGGGTAATGAGGATTGCCTACCTGGATACTATTGTGTTACAACAGCTGCACAGCCATATTGTACTGAGTTAAATGAATGCTCTCCTAAAAATGGTCATTTTGAAGGACTTGCATATTGTGGGAGAAACACAGTTTGCACAAATACAGTTGGAAGTTTTACATGTACTTGTAATACTGGCTATGAAGATTTTGCTGAACACAGTGGTTGTATCGACACCAATGAATGCTCAGCTGGAACTGCAAACTGTGGTGCAAATTCAAATTGTTGGAACTTCCCAGGAACATTTGTTTGTACTTGTAAGGTTGGGTTTACTGGAGACCCTGTGGCTGGATGTACAGACATTGATGAATGTATTAACTCTGATTGGCACAACTGCCAAAATTCTCCAGGATACAACTCAGAAACCTTTGGATTAAACGGAATTAAATACTTTAATGTCAGTTCATCGAGCATTGGAGACCAACAGCATCACACATTTAGATTTGAGATAGCTACCGAGAAGGAAGCTAGTTTCTATTTGACAAATGATGATTTATCAATTTCCTACAGAGCAGTTCTTCAGGATTCTGGATCAGAAATAGAGAGATGTGAGAATTTGAACTGTGTTTCCCTGATTATTTCAAATAAAAAACCAATTCTTTCATCAAGCTCATTTAACCTTTTCTTCTTTGATATATTTTATGAAGAAGCATCAGAGGATACTACTCTTACAGTTTCAGACAGTAGTAATAACATTTTGTGTGAAGCTAAATATAAAGAAATGGTACCTTTGACTATCAATAAAATAGGAGTTGACAACAATTTAGGGGGTCAAGTGGCTTACTGGAGAAACATGAAAAAAAATGTAGTAGAGCAAATATGTGTCAACACTGTAGGCAGCTTCCTTTGCAAGGATAACCCAGATGAGATGATAGGGATTGGGTTTGGAGGTCACACTACAAGTAGTTCAGATTATCCAGATAAAGTAGTTGTCTTTACTAATCAAAAATATACTTGTGCAAACCATAAAATTGATAATATCAGAGGAAGGTACAGCCCAGGAATGGCTGAATTGGATGGTTGGCTGTACATATGTGGTGGGCATTATTATAGAGCAACAGATCCATTGATTGACTGTAAAAAATTTGATCTTAATTCTAAAAATGGAGCATGGACAGCTGCACCAGACCTACCTAAAAAGCGTAGACATTTTGAGATGCTAAGATTTGAGAGCTCAATATTTGTTTTAGGGGGACAAAACTACTGGAAAGGAGGATCTGAATGTCTTAACTCTCTACATGAATTCAATCATGAATCAAATATTTGGACATCTAAAGCAAATTTGCCATTTCCCAATCATAGACATTGTGCTGTTGTAGATGATGAAGATGGAAAAATATGGATGATTGGAGGTCATGAATGTGGTGTTGGAGATAAAATGCAAGTTTATTATTACACAGTCTCAAGTAATATATGGACACATCACAGCAATCTAATCGGCAATCAGGCAGTAATTGATCCATCTTGTGGAATTATCACCAAAACCACAGGAGAGAAATGGTTGCTTGTAGTTAAAGGACAAAGAACAGAAGCAGTTATCTTTTACGATCTTACAAACCAAAAAGGTTGGAATCATGCAAGTAATTTGTTTGGTAATGGAAAACAATATTTCATGCGCATGATAACTTTAAACCCATATTCAGCCTTTATAGTAGGCTCTTATTCTACAAGACATGGCACAAGTTTAAAAAACATTTTAGAGTTTAACCAAGAAACAAACAATTTTGAGGACAAATATTATTACCTTTTAAATGAGATGTACTTAGGGTATTGGACAACTGTGAAAAAATCCAAAAACTATAAAGCTTTACAAGACTGTGTCTCAATAAGAGAATATGCTGCTGTTTGCTGGGGTGGTCACACTACATTGAGTTCAACATATCCAGCAACATGGAGCATTCTACTCAGGGATAGGTTAAGAGAAGGAGATCCTCATCTTCCAGCTACCTGTCATGGAAAGATTCCAGACCTTTCTCCTGGAAGATTGAGACCTGGGGTAACAGCAGTAGATTACAAACTAATAGTCTGTGGTGGACAAGTTTACCAAGGTAGTATGGAAAGTAGTTGCTATTATTTGGATACAAATGAATATTTCCCTGTTTGGAATACAATGGAAAGTATGCTAATAAAAAGGGGATACTTTGAGTTGACTTCTTATGGAGATGCAGCATTTGCAATAGCAGGTTGGAATGGTGGTAACCTAGGACAAGTAGACAGATGGACTGAAAGAGAAGGATGGGTCAGAATGGCAGATTTACCCATAAATACACGTGAACACTGCTCAGTACCAGACCCAGGATATGATAAAATTTACAACTTAGGGGGATATAACAGATATACAAATAACTATGTATACACAGTGTCTACTAATACCTGGACGTCTATGCCAAGCCTTTACTGGGGAGCTCATAGAACTGCCTGCAGCATAATCAGACGAAGATCAACTGGAAACAAGATTATTGTTCTAGTTGGAGATGGTTACTCACGAACACAATATTTTGATCTTACTGTTTATGAAGCAAATGGAAGTGGTGAATGGAATAGCTATGCAACTCCTCAATACTTCTCATATTACTCTACAATTGTAACACTAACTCCTTATGAAAGCTTTGAGGTAAAAGACATTTATTAAGGTGAATGTTATAGACTTTAATAATTTTGAAACAAGATATTTTAGAAGTACATTTATTGAATAGCTCTACTCTGGGTCCAGAATCCATTACAACTGATTTGCCAAATTTATAATCTTCAATCGGGATTTCATCCTCTACAGAAGCCCCCCCCCCCCCCAAGTCTCGAGCAAGAGGAAGTCAAGACTGATATATATCTCATTGTTAGTGTTTACGGAAAAGGAGTTCTGATGACGAATGATCATTTTTCACAACTAGATGTTTGTGAATTTATGATCTGCCTGCTCCCCATGTTATGATCAACCTTGTGTAAGGCTGGTCAGTGGCCATTTGAAGAGATCAGTAGTGGTGAAGGCTAGGCGGGCATAGATTTAACCTGTAGCAAGATAGTCAATAAGGTATCACAATGAGGTTCATGCACGGATGAAAGGTCGATACAGTACAGGAAAGATCTGTCCAGACTTGACATCTTTTATTAAAACTATTGGTGGAAAATCCCCCCCAAAAAATGAGTAGGTAATAGCTATTTTAGCTAATTAGCTCCAGGAGTAGAGCAGTGTGGCTAATTAGCTTCTGGAGGGCTGAAGTTTAGCTAATTAGCTAATTAACTCCTTAAGTCGAGCCAAAGATCTTGCAGCTGTCAATCATGTGACACAAGCTGTCGTCAGAGTTGGGTTGAAGATTGGATCTTAAAGTTGGGTTTAAGGAATTACGGCTCAAGCCAAAGTTTTTAAATTGAAGTTCTGGAGAAGCTGAGGTATAGCTTATTTGCTTGGTAGCTGAGGTTTAGCTTATCAGCTCCAGGAGTAGGTGAGGCTAAGCTTATCAGCGCCAGGAACAGCTAAGGTTTAGCTTATTAGCTCCAAGAGTAGATGAGGTTTTGTAGGTTAAGGAATAGTAATTTTGTGGAAAAGAAGTTTATGCTTGAGATTGTCATCCTTGTCCAATTCTGGAGCTGTTTCTAACCAGAAGCTGTGTTTTCGGCCATGGTTCATTTTCCGTCGGGGTCACCACTTGAAAAGTATATTTATTGCTTGTAGATACAAATACATAATGAATGAAGATTGTATTAAAGGAGAGAAAGATGAATAGGTCTTCTTATATGGGTCCACAATCCAAAGCAACTGATATGCAGATTTTATAAGCCTATTTCGGGATTTCATTCTCTACAGTATGTTTATTTTGAAAAGCTTTTTAAATATGTAAAGGCAATACTCTATTAATAAGGTCAAAGTTCCATGAGTTCTTCCACATTCCTTCAATGTGAGCTATGTCATTACATATATTGTTTACATTTAGATGGGAGGATATAGTAATTTAACCGGAGGACTCTCTACAAGAAACTTGTTTATGTGGAATCCTATCTCTGAACGTCATGAAGATATTGGTCTGAACCTTGTCCATCCTCACTACTATGGAGATTGTACCATTATGCCAGCTGATGCTAAGGTGCTTAAGGGGTGCACTCTGGGCTAGAATTTGACCAGCTGAGAAAAATGTATTATTAGACTCCCCAAAACCTGCATAGAAATAACATTGGTTTTCTTCAAAAAATTCATCAAAATTGACATGTTGAAAAGAATAGTTGGGCAATACCAAGTTAATTGAAAATATAGGGTGTCCCACCAATTAACAGTTAAGTACAACGAAAGCTGTCTCATCTGAATAAAATTCTTCATACTTACAGTAATCTTTAAAGCATAACAAAGGCAGTCCACATTTTAGAAGTATCTGTATAAGAAGTATTTAGTGATTATTGTTTCAAGATTCCACATGTAAAAATACGTTAAAAATGAATGATGCAAATTAATTTAAGGAACAATGATGATCTTCAAGTCATCTCATTACTATGGTTTGACTCAACACAATTCTCATTTTGCAGAATTCCCTATATTGTATTATTTGCATAAATGCATAAATGCATAAATGCATAAATGCTGATTTTAATCTAGAAGTTATTTTTTCATAAAATTAAGGGCTTGAAAATGTTTAAGGAATTACTTTCCTGAATTTTCAAACCTTATTACTAATTTATGGCGTTCTGTGCACTTTTAAAGAATAATGATCCATGTAATCTGAATTGAATTGGACACTTAATAACTTAATAATTGTATTTAGTTATGGTTGAAATTGATCTTTCAAAATTTATTAGATTGATTATTTTTAAATTTTAAACCACATATTTACCCAGCTTTATAAATTATTTATCTGACGAGGTTAACACATTGATAAACATGGTTGAACTGATTTTAAATATAAACTAAAATTTTAATTGTAGGTTTTTTTGAGATAAAAGAGAGAGAGAATATTCTTTTATTTTTTGTAATATGGAATACTTGTCCAAAACATTAATTAAATATGCATTTTTAGTAATATAAATGTTACTCTTACGATTCCAGAAATCAGATTTTTATTTTTTTAAATGTCCCATATATGAAATGTCCCATCTTTGAAATTTGAAATATCCTGTCAATGAAATGTCCTTTCTTTGATTTTTCTATCTATAAGATAGCTATATTAGAAAAGTCCCAACACCCTAATTATACCTGTGATTTAATATCTTAACAAAATCTTTAGCAGAAATTAAATTGTGTTTTCTTTTCTTGAATTCTTAAGAAAAATCCTATTCCTCTTTATATATTTAAGATGGTATTTGATGAAAATAAGAGTCATTTGTCTGGGTTTAAACAATTTTTAAATCCTTCCACCAAACAAATGTTTTAATTGAGAAAGAAAAAATTGATTCTAACATTGATTTGTTGAGAAAATTTCAATTGAGAAATATGATCTTAAACATCTAATTAGTTAACTGTAGATTTTTTTTCACATATTTTTGTCGTCGTTATTTAATAATTTAAAAAATGTCTCCACAATACTCCACCATACAAAAACAAAAATTATCATCCATCATTACGTTAAGTCAGGGGCCAGGGCTGAGCCTCCGTCACAAAAAAAGAGAAGTATTGTTAATAAAATTTTTAAGGTATTTTGGTGTTTCATACATACTCTGATGATTCATTTTCAACCCAAGTAAAAAAACTGTTCCATATATAAGACGTACATGGGCAGAGCTCTTAATAAAAAGTCTTCATTAAAACATTTTTAACTCCTATTTCGAGGTTGAAAGTAAAAGAAAAACAGGAGAGCTTATCGATATCCATTACATAAGTTTTACCTTTCTCTGCTAAAAAAATCAAAAACTCGAAAATTGTAAAGTATGTTATTTATTCATTATTTCAGGTTGGCTGTGTTCAGTTTTAATGTGCTTCTTTAACCTTGACACTCGTGCAGAACGAAAGTCACAAATATCACAATAATATTTAATTCCTTCATGAACAGTCTTCACATGGTTTCTCAAATTTATGCTAGAGGCTGCTTTAAAATCACACTGATCACAAGGATGTTTCATTCCATCGTGAACAGTTCTAATGTGATGTTTCAAGGTATGGGGAAGAGGAGCTTTATACTCACATTGAGTACAGGGATATCGAACACCTAAAATTATTCAGCAATTACAATTATAATCTACATGACGTCAGGCGAAACAAGGTATCCTTAGAGGGGGGGGGGGTGTTAAATTTATTTAACAATAAAAAATTGCGAGTGTTGTTCAAATATAATCGTTGGGTTCTTCATTTTAAGATTAATATTCTTTAGCAGGGGACAGACAAAAAACTTGCCCCTTACCACTTATATACCATGGTAGTTGTTTTTCTTATTACATCAAATCCGTTAACGAACGAAAAACTTCTAAATCTGTCTTATTTGTAAAGGCTAAGTAGCTTACCCATATGTTTGTTTAGTTTGTGTCTCTTCAAATCAAATGCTTTGGTCGCCTGATATCCACAATCATCACATAGAAATCTCCTGCGTAAACAAAAACTAGAAATTCTCCAAAGAAAATCCTTAAAAACTATTTGTCTATTTTGTTTTGAATTTTTAAGAATTACTAGAACTTCCTGGAAATGAAAAAAAACTATTTGACTTTAGACTTTGACTTAAATATTTAACATGGTTTATGTTTCATCCCTGTTTTCATGTTCCTTTGCGATATGCTCTCTTAACACAGGAACAGAGTTGGCCTATAAACATTATACATACAATACTAGAATTCAATTAGAGTAGAAGAGGAACACTTAAGAAAAGTATGATATAACTCATAATGGAGAATAAGGAGTATGAAACAAAAAAGTGAGTAAGGAATGGGGGGGAGGAAGAATTTCGATGCAAAATATTAAGATTTTAAAGGAAACGGAATGGATGTTAACAAGAAAGGCAGGGGGTGGAGAGAGAGAAAGAAGGGGGGGGGTAAAGAGAAGAATATGAACTGCAATATAATTGCCTGATATGCACAGCTACTGCAGGGATACCGGATCCCTTAAACAAAAACAGATGAACTATGTTAGTATTATAAAATAAACCAGTTGAACCTTTCATACCCTACTCTACTAACCTTCATGAACACTTAGTGTGTGTTGTTTTAAACTATTCTCAGTGAGACAAGTATACTCACATTGATCACATGCAAACCTAAAATATGAAGAAACATATTCTAATCCATGATTTAAGAACTTATTTTAATCAAGTTTTGATTAAACCCGTTGCAATTAAGATATTTTTATTATCTCCGTCAATATCAATATTAGCCAGTTCTATTTTTAATATACTCATGTAGTTACAGAACAAAAAATAAATTCAAACAAATTATTTCACAAATTGAATTTTTGTAAAAAATCGAGAACAAAATAAAATTAAGTATGCATCTTTCAAGTTTAACTCATAGATAATTTAAACAGAAATTTCAAATTGTATTCCGGCTCCTTTACCTTAATTCCTGATGAACAGTTCGAATATGTTGCTTTAAGGACCTCTCCCGCTTTGTTTCAAAATCACATTGATCACACAGAAATCTAAAATTATAAACGTTGTCAAAATATTTTGTAATCTCTTTCTGTTCCGACGCAAATCTAGTATATAAGATATTAATGCTTATTTACCTCAGTCCTAGCTTCATGTTTCATCATTATATGCTGAGTAAAGTTTATTTACCTTACTCCTTCATGTTCCGTCCTTATATGCTAAGTAAGGTTTATTTACCTCCTTCATGTTCCGTCATTATATGCTAAGTAAGGTTTATTTACCTTAATCCTTCATGTTCCGTCATTATATGCTGAGTAAGGTTTATTTACCTTAATCCTTCATGTTCCGTCATTATATGCTGAGTAAGGTTTGAGTTAGTAGTTGCCTTGAAACTTATTTGTTTATTTATTTACCTCAATCCTTTATGTTCCGTCATTATAAGTAATTATAAGAGCAAGGTTTAATTACCGTAATCCTTCATGTTCCGTCATTATATGCTGAGTAAGATTTATATACCTCAATCCTTCATGTTCCGTTATTATAAGCTGAGTAAGGTTTATTTACCTCAATCCTTCATGTTCCGTTATTATATGCAGAGTAAGGTTTATTTACCTTAATCCTTCATGTTCCGTCATTATATGCTGAGTAAGATTTATACACCTCAATCCTTCATGTTCCGTTATTATATGCTGAGTAAGGTTTATTTACCTCAATCCTTCATGTTCCGCTATTATATGCAGAGTAAGGTTTATTTACCTTAATCCTTCATGTTCCGTCATTATATACTAAGTAAGATTTATATACCTCAATCCTACATGTTCCGTTATTATATGCTGAGTAAGGTTTATTTACCTTAATCCTTCATGTTCCGTCATTATATGCTGAGTAAGGTTTGAGTTAGTAGTTGCCTTGAAACTACACTGTAAACATTCAAACTTTAAACCCAGATGTACGGTTTGTTTGTGTATCTTCAGAGAGAAGGGTTGGGGAGCTTTATATTCACATTCGTCACAGGGATACTTGACACCACGATGCCGAGCCTCCTCGTGTCTTTTTAAATCATTCTTTCTTGCTGCTTTGTAATCGCACTCAGTACAGGGATACATTATCTAGAAAACAGAAAACATCAAATAATAATAAAAATAAAAATGAAAATAATAATAATCATAACAATAACAATAACAATAGCAATGACAATAACAATAACAATAATAATAATACGAATTATAATAATTATAAGAATAATAATGATAAGAATGACAATGAAACGCATACCATGGTAATAATATTAATGAAACCAGTGCTAAAAAAAATAATTATATTAACATAGTTGCCCACTGCCCTCCAAAGAAAGAAAGATGTTCTTAAATTTACGAATTTGCCAAAACTACAGATAAAATTAAGAAAATTTTCCAAAAATAAGATTTTTAAGATCATAATTTTGAAATCGCGAAAATTTTTTAATTTTTAAGAACATTTTTTTAAACCCCACAAAAACTGGAAAAAAATGAAAAAATTGATTTCTTCTAAAATCCCATTATTTTGATGTAAAAAATCATTTTGGTAAGTTTTTTTTGCTTAATTTAAACTTTTTGTTCTCGACTTCTTGTGTTTGTTGTTGCCAATCATCGAATACTTTGATACTGTTCTTCCTGAAATCCTAGGAAAATCGAAACTGCTTTCGTTAGTCATCTTACTTTGACAACTCAAACATACTCTTTCATTAGTGTGATTTTACAAAACCTGAACCATAATGTAACCCGCATAAACATTTTAATACTGACTTTTAAAGTTTAACATCAATAGAGAATATATGAATCTAAAACATGTTAAAGAATATCATTAAAGCAACAGCTTAAATATCCAAAAAATGTTTAACATAATATTGTACTTCACACTGTTCTGATCTAAACAGTAAACATTGAACTATTGTACAGTATAGATAGTTTTAACCTTTAGTTATAATGTAACAAAATATTTTATCTTTTCAAAAATGAGGTGACTTAAAAAATGGAATTCGTTTATATTTCTCCTAAATTAATCAACTGAAAATTAATCTTCATAATTGAATTTAACTTTTTCTGACATATTTTAATATTATTTATGTAATCCCTCTTTCTGGCTGGGCTCCTCTTAAAAATGTCTTTGAGACACTTTTATCAATTATAAATTGAATCTGAACCTGAGTAAAAAGAAACACATATAAGAAAGAGGATTCAAATCAGAACTTTGAAAACATTATGTAAGAGGAACTATCTGATGAGGTACAAAAACAAGATCTTCATCATATTTTTGAAGACATTTCATAAAATGTCGAAAAAAATTATTTAAAGGTGAAATTTTTTAAAGAACATTTGAAAATTTAAGAACTCTCCCCCNCCGAAAATTAAGAACTTTGAGAACGAATTGCTGTCAAATCTTAAATTTAACTATGTTTTAATAATAATATTTATGAAAATAGTAAAATGATTGAGTTGCTCCAAAAAAAACCAACAAATTAAAACTTTAACTTTACCTTTTCTGGAACGTTACTCGAAATTTCAGTCTGACCGTGTTTCAGTTTAATGTGCTTCTTCAGACTAGAAGAACACTCGGATACAAAATCACAATTATCACAAGGATACATTATTTGTTTCTTTATCTGAGGCAAGTGTATATCCATGTGAGTTGTAAATCTATTCATGCACAATGAAACAAAAGAACAAAGTTCGCATTTTAATTTAGTTTTGTTTTCATCAATTCTCTTATGCTTGGTTTGTTGGTGCTGTTTTAACTGCTCTGATTCTGTTGCAACAAAGTCACAATGCTCACAATATAATTTCCCATGAACTTCCATTTGTCCAGTATCATCATCTTCCATTATATTCTTTTCTTCTTCCATTTGTTCATTAACTGCTTTGTTGCTGTTCTTAATTATTTCAGGTTTTATTTCATCATTGGTCTCAACCGTTACACTAGAAATATTAAAAATTAAATTAAATACTATTTTAGTATTACTTTAATTACCTGTTAATCGGATGTCTGTCAACATGCGTTCTAAATAAGTAAAATTTTATAGAGATATATTTTTACAAAAAAAACAAATTTATTTCTTTAAAAAAGATAAATAGCCATTTTAACCATAATTGCTTGGAAGCAAGTTTAATACTACTCTTAAGATTTACATAAATTACAAATTAGTTGACCTTTTAATGTGATCGTTTAAATTCTGTAATATTTGCGTTGAAAAGACACAAAGATCACAGGTGTAAAGCAAGCAATGACTTTTCTTATGTTTCTTCAAGATTGTAGGATTAGCGCTGACAAATTCACATTCAGTGCACTGTCCATCGTGGTCCTCCTCATAATGCATCCTACACAATGGATTAAATAATTCAATAATCTTAGGATCAAAAACATATGTTTTCAGAAATGTGCAAGAAAATGTACTTAATGTAGACAAATCTTTGAGCTATCATAACACCTCCGTTATTATAAAACTCATTAATTACATTTCTATTAAGTATTTTGTTCTCATCTACATAGTATAGCCAGTGCCCGGAAAGAAAGTATATAAATTTAAACTGATTAAAATATTTTTTTTTCGATAATGCATTGCTGAACTAGCTAGATAATGCATTGCTGAACTAGCTAGATAATGCATTGCTGAACTGGCTAGATAATGCATTGCTGAACTAGCTAGATAATGCATTGCTGAACTAGCTAAACCCTCGATTTACTTGAAAACAGTCCCCCCCCCCCATCCCCTTTGCAACAAATAAAATCAAATAAAATAATTAGATTAAACTGAGTTTTTCGGTACAATGTGTTCTCTTCCTTTAATTTAATTATACCTAAGCGCGGTTGGTCCCTGTCCAAGATAAAGGCAGTCTCTGCATGCAAATGATAAAGGTGCGTGGTGTAGGATCACGTGATCTTGTATATCTCGAGGGAAAGAAGACTTAAATGCGCATGCGCTACACCTGTACATAACTCCACTGTGCTCCATCTCTCTGTGCTTTTTCAGATTTTCTTCCTCTTGTTGAAACAATTTGTTACATTCCTAGGTTGAAACCTTCTTTTCTCTTCTAAACCAACCTAAACATATTATCTGAAATTTTAATAATATTACATAAATGGAAATAAAATACTAGATAATAAGAAAAACTGTAACGCTCAGGTAACAGAAGTTAACATTACGAATTTTCTCATTTTTCTCATTTTTTAGACTACCTCAAACTATTTGTCACGGTGACCACTATGCATACAACGATATAAAATCTTTCTAGTAAAATGTAAAGCAGTCTTTACCCAAACATGTTTTGAGTACACATTTCGAAAAATGTATAGGCGCAGAATTTCTTCTGGAAACTTGGGGCTTAGGTCTCCCAACCATCGTTCATCCAAGATTTCTCTTAGACTGTTCAACGAATCTACCAATCCAGCATCGACAACACAAAACCATAGCAATTTAATTAATCAACTCTATTCCCAGGATTTTATAGATTTCACAACTTTTGAATACCAGACATTAATACCTAAAATGGCCATCCTAGTGTTTCTTGGGATAAATTAATTGGAAAAAAGCAATCTAATCCTGGTTGACATTGGAATATTAAAAAATTATAAGAAGGAGAAAAGTTGTAATAAAAGAAAAAAGGTTTAAAAATTGAGCCAGGGAGTTTTGAAAAAACAATTTCAATGCACTAAATTTATCATTGAATACTAAATATTTGCAAGAAAAGTTTTAAATACCGTGGCATGGAAACCCGTACGGTTGTAGCTTACGGCTGCCGAAAGACAAAAAGCTAATATGTGACATGGAAGGGGAAAATGTCGTATCTTATGGCCACCTGCCTCCCCCGGTCATTGGAAGCAAAAACATAAATTTTAAATATATTTTAGGAACAATAATTCCTAAAAATTTACGAATCAATGATGTTGATCAATTTCAACTGTGAATTTCAACAATAGCCTTTATTCAATTAAAAATATTATGTTGGGAAATATTAAATAATTGATAAATATCGTGATTGATTGATTGATTATAGGTTAGAAAAACAGTCCAGATTCGGGTTTATTTGAGAATTTGATAAAAATATGTTCTTATTTTGTAATTGATACACGAGTAATAAGTACATCTGTACAGAGGTGAATGATTGATTGATAATAATGTCACGCTATATAAAGGTGATTACAGGAAAGTTTTTATGACCTTCTGAACATCTGAAGATATGTATTTCTCACCTTGCAACCTATCTATTAAAATCTATCTTTCTACAAACCATCCTCTGCATACTATCTGAAAAAAACTCAAATATTTCAAAATGAAAATTTTTTTTGGGCTAAATTTTTATTATTTTTAACACTTTATTTTTACAAAAAAAAGCATTTTTCACATTAAAGACGAATGCACGTAGATTATTGGTCATGTAGCGTAAATCCAAAATTAGAATGTAGCAATATAACTGATCCAATTCAAATATGTACTGAAAAGAAAAAAAATAGAAAAATTCAACAGACAACATAGCAAACCACAGATTTGACCAACCGTCAGTTATAACAGGAATCTTATTATTTATTATTTATAGTCACTATAGTGTCACTTTAGTCACAGTTAGTAATAATTAAATCAAATTAAGTATTTATTCTTTAATTTATTTCTTTCATTTATGTATTTCAGGATCTCCTTTCCCAAGAAACCTCTTATCCCAACTTCCCAATCTCATGGTTCTCATGAAGTATGCTGTCTAAGATGGCTCGTTAGAAGATCTTTTCTTGAAAACATTTTATTACACAGTTCACATGTGTGTGGTTTCTCTCCAGTATGAACCAAATTATGTCTTTTCAGATCACCTTTAGTGGAAAACCTTTTATCACACAAATCACAATTAAATGGTTTCTCTCCAGTATGAACCAAATTATGTCTTTTCAGTTCATATTTCGTGGAAAACCTTTTATCACACAAATCACAATTTTCTGGTTTCTCTCCAGTATGAACCTGTGTATGTCTTTTCATACTTTTTTTAGTGGAAAATCTGTTATCACACATATTACAATGAAATGGTTTCTCTCCAGTATGTACTCTAGAGTGATATTTCAAATGGATCTTCTTAGCAAATGTTTTTCCACAATCTTCACATTTGAATGGCTTCTCTTGAACTTTCTCAACTTGTTTTTCATCATTCTCATGATTTAGTTCTTTATTCATATTTTTATGAATTTCAATATGTCTTTTTAAGTCCCAACTCTCCTTAAAACTTTTACCACAGGTTTCACACGTGTACGGTTTTACTCCAGTGTGTGTTCTTATATGAGAATTTAAGTTGGAACTAAAATTAAACCTTTTGTCACAAAGTTTACATTCAAATGGTTTCTCTGCAGAATGGATTCTGAGATGACCATTAAAATTCTGTTTATCGGAAAAACATTTTCCGCATACCTCACATTTAAATGGTTTCTCTCCAGTATGGGTTCTTAAATGTCTAGTAAGATCTGAATTTTTAGAAAACATTTTATCACACACTTCACATTGATATGGTTTCTCTCCGGTGTGAGTTCTCATATGTGAAGTTAGGATATTACTCCTAAATATTTTATGACATACTTCACATTGAAATGGTTTCTCTCCGGTGTGTGTTCTCATGTGTGGAGTTAAGCTACTCCTCCTATTAAACATTTTATTACATACTTCACAGTTAAATGGTTTCTCTCCAGTATGGGTTCTCAAATGTCTGGTAAGATCTGAATTTTTAGAAAACATTTTATCACACACTTCACATTGATATGGTTTCTCTCCGGTGTGTGTTCTCATGTGTGAAGTTAAATATTCACTCCGCTTAAACATTTTATCACACACTTCACATTTAAATGTGGTTTCTCCAGTGTGGTTTCTCATTTCAACCTCAAGTGTTGAGTTCTTGGTGTTCTGTTCACAACTAGAACCCTGCTCAAAATTTAATTTCCCATCAGCTTCCATTTGTACAGAGTTATCATCTTCCATCATAATCTCTTCTTCCTTCATTATAATCTCTTCTGCCTTCATTATATTCTCTTCTTTCTTTATTATATTCTCTTCTTCCTTCATTTCTTTATCTTCAACTTCTGTATTGCTGTTTTCAATTATTTCAGAATTTATTTCATCAAAACTTTCCTCAATCTCCGCGCTGAAAATATCAAAAGTTAGGAAATAACATTTTTTACAACTGCATTGTTTATTTAAATGTTTCTATTTCTTTCTTACAACCCATAATTTACCCACCGCCCCACAAAACCCCTTGAGTTTCGTCCCCAAATTTCGTAATTTTGTATCCCTAACGGTCAACCAGTTTCCAACCCTACCCCCCCCCCNCCAAAATTTATATAATTAAAATTATTTTTTTACCCCCCCCAGGTTTTGATCACACTTTGTGTATATTGCCTTTTTAATATTTATAATTTTTTCATTTAACTATGTAATGATTTTGGTCATTTTAGGACTGAAAATCGTATAAAAATATATCGAAATTAATTTCCAAATCCAAGTTTTTCTGTAGTGCAAGAGTGAAAACTTTTTTTTGCCAACAAGGACAATTTACATTTTTTAGAATTTTTGTTACCTTTTCATCAGATTTCTGTCCAAAACTCCATGTATTCTAAACATAGCACAAATTACTTAAGCCACATCATTTTTTACCAAATAAACATATTTAATGTTTTAAAAAAATTAGATTTACAACCAAAATATAATGTACATCTTGATTAAAAATACGTTAAAATGGTCTCCTAAACTCTTTTTTTTCACTTCCCAATAAAGAAATTCAGAAATGTTTTATCATTAACATTAAGTTTAAACAAAGAGAATAAAATAAGATGATGTAAAAATTAGTAGATACCATTTTCCCACGTTCAAATAAGCCATACTTGCCATATTTTACCTTTCAATGTGATCATTTAAGTTCTGTAATATTTGCGTTGAAAAAGCACAAAGATCGCAGGTGTGCAGCAAGCCATGAGTTTTCTTATGTTCCTTCAAGATTGCGGGAATAGAACTGACAAAATCACATTCAGTACATTGGCCTTCATGGTGCTCCTCGTAGTGCATCCTACACAATGGATTGAATTAGCTTGAGGTTTATCACAAAAACAGGAATTGTTTTTAATGGCTTTATTTTAAAGGAACTAGGCCAGTTATGGTTTACAAATGTACGAAATTTTGTCAAATTTGTAGAATTTTAGGAAATCGATACCTGTCATGAATAATAATTAAAATAGATTCAAATAATTCTAGAGAAAACAAAATACAATTGATCTATATAATATCCTGATTATTTCGAAAAAATGTATCGTTAAAATAAAAAATTAAAACAACTAAATACTAAATTGTTTATACCTGAGCGCGGTTGGACCCTGCCCAAGATAAAGACAGTGTCTGCACGCAAATGATATGAGCGCGTGGTGTATAATCACGTGATCACGTATATATTGAGGGTGCGCGGATATAAATGCGCATTTTCCACATCTGTACATTACACCAATGTGCTCGGTCTCTCTGTGCTTTTTCAACTTCGACTCATCTGTCGTCGTATTTTCACAAACTTCACATTGTTTGTATGAATGCTGAATTTTCATGTGATGTTTTAGATCATCTGAATGTTCACAAGAATATGCACATAAAGCACACGTAGTCGAATCTTTTCCCGTTGCTTGATTTTCCAAATGTTCTCCTAAATATAAATATTTTTAAGTTCTGTAAAACATATAGTATGATTTTCAGAGAGAGGGTTTTATTACGGAAACTCATACTTCCGAAAATAGTTAAAATATGGATTGAAGTGGGAGAAATAACATTAATACTTGAGTCTATACTGAATTTAATCTTTTATAGTTTCTTAAAGTTATAGATCCCAAATTATAGATGAAAGAAAAAACTGAAAAAGTAAAAAAACAAATTAATAAAACCTTGTAATTTTTGACACTCCTTCATCTGAACAGATTCCATTTTATCAATGATAATTTCTGAAATCACAAGAAAAGTAAATTTAGAAATCTAATAAATCACATGGAAATTTTTTTTCTTCTAATTTTGACAGTTAACAATCATTTATTTATTTTCTGTGTAAGGGCAGGGAGATACTGCGCATGATATTTATCGGGGAAAAGATCGCTAGCGTTAATGTTCCCGCTCTCTATCTTAAACTCCATTGTTAGACGCAACTCAAGATCAGCGTAGAAATTCCGACGCATGAAATCTATTTCACGCAAACTCTTCAAGCAGGAAATGATCTCCTAAAAATGCAAAATATAAATATAACAATTTGCAAAAAAAAAATCTATTTATCAGCCACTAAGCTTGAAGGGGTTACTTCATAACGCCTTTTTTTAAGGCGTAGAACTAGTTTTGCTAATCTTTTAAAATCCACGATTCAGATTTTTAATCAGTCGAAAACTTGAAAATTTAAAAGGTACTTTGAAAAAACGTGGATCCCAATTTTAGTTGATTAAGTTAAAATTACGCTTTACATTTTATTTTTGTTAAGGACTGAAAGAAATAACCTCATGGGTTTCCCTGGAGTCTAGATTAAGAAGAATAAGAACTTTGGTATAAAGAGTCCATTTTGAATCTGGCTCAAGCTCCAACAAATCCTCACAGTTACCAAGAGCCTAAAATATGTACATAAAAAAAGATGATAGTCAAGGTCAAAGTAAAAATCGACATTAACATTTACGATAAAAATAACTCCCATACAACATTGAATATTGAACATGAGCATGAGCATGAGCATGAGCATGAGCATGAGCATGAGCATGAGCATGAGCATGAGCATGAGCATGAGCATGATCATGAGCATGAGCATGACCATGAGCCTGAGCATGACCATGAGCAAATATGAGATTATTATAAACCAGCTATAGATTAAGATTCAGAATATTGAGTTACATAAATAATACCTGTTTTAAAATATTGTTTGTTTTGAAGTTCGGTTTATTTACAAACCGGTTTTCCTGGGATTTCCATCCTTCTCCCCTCTCTATCTGCCTTTCTCCTCCTCTTATACTGAAATTTGAATCAATAAAAAAATTACAGAAATTTAAAAATATATTTCTAAACAATATTTGGAGCACTTGTTTTCAGAATGTGAAGGGGGGGGGGGTGTTTTATTCAAATGAACTGTAAATCTTCATTCTACATTCTACATATATAGAGAGATAAAAAATAAGTTTTATTTGGAAGATTTTTCATTGCCATCACAAATATAATTTTTCTCTTCAATATTTACTTCCTTAAAAATTCTTCAGAAATATGACACAAAAGAATTTGTTGTTGTACAAATTTGAATTAAAAACAGTGATCATAATTAACAAAGATCAAATAGATTATATTATTTCAGTTTGAAATCTTTCATACTTTTATAAACTGTAGCGCGCAGCTATGAGGTCACAAAGTCCAAATAGATTTAATACAAACTGTACTTAATGTCTAGATTGTAGTTTACCTAAATGTTACAGATGAATTACTGATAGATATTTCTAAACAGGAGTCAGGGGAGGAGATCAACTATACAAAATAATCAAAGGAATAATCAAGTGAACCTTTATATAATGAGTGGTATGCCGAATTCACAACAGTACCCCTGTACCCTGTACCCTGTACCCCTGTCTTTGTAACAATTGTCGTTTTTTCTTGTAACAATTTTCTTCACTATCTCTGCACATAAACCTGCAAGTAACATTTACCGAGGAACCACAGGTAAAAAATAATCAAATTTTTGGCTATAAAATAACGATATCTTTATTCTTATTCATCTTTGAGGGTGACGAGGGTTAAATTTGTACTGAGATGAATCGGTCATGCCACAGGGTCACTGGAATTACGAGGAAAAATTTAATCCTTAATTTAAGATTTTCTGAGGTTTAAGTAAAAACTCAAGTATTATATATCGCTCTTGAACTGGATTTCTACAGCAAAATCTTTTAAACTAAAGCACTTTTGTACTAACTCAAATTTTTCAATTCTCTCAATATTACAGAGCAGATTTCTTCTTTCTGTCCATTATTTTAGCAAACAAAGCTCTCTGATTTGAAGGGATCATCGATACGAAAGTTATGACCTCTGGTTTCAAGAAAATGTTTACTAATTATCAGCCATTAGGGTCATAACTTAAATGAAATGTACTAACATATAAAGTAGTAATCTCTGTTTGTTTAGATGTCCGGTCATATTCATAACTTCTTGACTGATTTGCATACAACTTTGACTGGAAAAAACCAGGTAACGCTCCCAAGCTCGTTAACAAATAAAATTGCATACCTTGGCTTTCCAAAGAGTTAAAAACCGGTTTCCCTGCTGCTCAGCCTGACCGGCCTGCCAGTCTAGTTCTACCTGTAACCCATCTACTTTCACCACGAGGTGAGCCCTGAACAAAACAGTGTAAAATAGAAAACAGAGAAATGATTGTCGTTGTCTTCTTTTTATTAAGAAATATCGCTGAGGAATTGTAAACTCCTAAATATTAATAAAGTTGATATTAAACCTCATTTCTAGAAGAGTTTATCATTTTAAGAGTGAAGTAAGGGCAATAATTAAAAAAAAATTTAATAAAACAATAAAAATGGGGTATTTTGGGCTGTTTTTTTTATGCCAACCCAAACTTTGATTGTTGAAACTTTGAGATTAACCGTTCAACATTAATGATACTTCAGACAACAATTCCGACTCCTGGACATTTGTAGAAAAATATTTAGAAATAAGAAACAAACAATTCTTCTAACAATTTCAAATAAAAAATTCTTTGCAACATTTCTTCAATAACAGAATGATTACTGTAAAATTAAACTACTGAAGGAAGCATTTGTTAGAAAAAAACATATTATCTAAGAAAAAAATCATTTAAATCGTCTTCTCAAGCAGGCAAAGACAGTCAAATTTTAGCAACAGAATCCTTTCTCACAAACAAGAGCCTAATAAAGACCAACACAAGATTTTAATAATGCAAAGAGAGACTGAAGATATTCCTAAAAACTCGCGGAGAAAGAGAAAAAGAGACTGGTTTCCATGATACCTGGTTAAAGGCCTGGTTAAAAAGACTGGTTTCCATGATACCTGGTTACAGGGCTGGTTAAAAAGACTGGTTTCCATGTAACCTGGGTAAAGGACAGGTTAAAGAGGCTGGTTTCCATGTTACCTGGTTACAAGGCTAGTTAAAGAGACTGGTTTCCATGATACCTGGTTACAGGGCTGGTTAAAGAGACTGATTTCCATGATACCTGGGTACAGGGCTGGTTAAAGAGACTGGTTTCCATGATACCTGGGTACAGGACAGGTTAAAGAGACTGGTTTCCATGATATCTGGTTACAGGACAGGTTAAAGAGACTGGTTTCCATGATATCTGGTTAAAAAGACTGGTTTCCATGATACCTGGTTACAGGGCTGGTTAAAGAGACTGGTTTCCATGTTACCTGGGTACAGGGCTGGTTAAAGAGACTGTAAGCCAACCATCTTCAACCATGCAAAATACTATCTTCAACCCTTCAGATTCTTGTGATAACGATGATAACGATCTGTAAGCCAACCATCTTCAACCATGCAAAATACTATCTTCAACCCTTCAGATTCTTGGCCTAAAATTAAAAAAAAAATTTTCTTTAACACAGAAATTTAAATTAATATCAATGTAATCTTTTTTTAATTGGTCTTTACATGTTAAGATTGAAAACATTAATATCTCCGTCATACATTGGGACCAATTACACTGTAAAATAAACAGCTGATTTTAAAAAGTCCAATAAACATGTAACACAGCAACCGTGCAGTGTACGAATATCCATTTCACTTAATAAGTTTACGTTCAAGCTAAATACTGGTAAACATATTTCCTTCATGTAATATTTTTATTCCACAGTTTAACCTTTGATAAATGTTCAAAAGACCAGAATAAAAATTTAATAGCCTAGAATAAATGAAGAGCTGCTTACAAATATATGATTAGGAGTCCCTTAAATAAATAAAAAATCTATAAAGGTCGACCTAAAAGCCACGTGTGATAGAACCACGCACTGGAATCCGCAGGATCCGTGAATGCCGCGTTCTGTACTAGATCCAACTCTTTGTGAACCTGGTCCTCCTGGATACTAGAGGTATCAGGGTTGAGTAGAGGCAAGAGTTTGCTCCTGTAGTGCCAGGCAGAGTAGTTGGAGAAATTTTCCTCGATCTTCTCCAGGGTAAACTCTGTAAAGGATAATAAACAGATGTATACATTGTTTTATTCTTATTTGTCCCAATCAATCTTTTATGTTCTTAAAGTATATTTATTGTTCGGATAGAGTTTTGTGAAACCCCCAAATATGTTCCTGCACTACCACCCCCATATTTTTTAGCAACACTTCCAACCATGTTTTCTTAGTTTTATAATTGCTTTTAGTTTATTAAAATCCAAACTTTTAAACTAAGCAAAAGCTAAAATTTAAAACCAATGTGGATCAAGAAGTAGGGTTAAAAAGAATTTTTTTTTCAATTCACCAAATAAAATAAAATAATTTTTTCTTCATGCAAAAGACATTTTTAAAATAATACGACGAAATTTTACTTTTCTGCTGATAAGGGCACACTTGCAATTTGCATTTATTAAACATAGAAAACGCCAATCCTTTACCTAGTTCCTGCTGAGGTTTTACTCCAGCTTTATCAGCAACCCACTTCCGGTAATCCCAGCAGTGGAAGTTCCTCTCATCAAGCTTCAAGAACCTAGATAATAATAATAATATTAATAATAATAACAATAATAACAATAATAACAATAATAACAATAATAACAATAATAACAATAATAACAATATAACAATAATAATAATAATAATAAAAATCAACCAGCATTCCAAAGAAAACAATGCCGATCTTCCTTCAAAAATAATCGTTTAAGGTCAGAAATCAATTTCCAGTTGACATAAGGCACTTCATCTAAAATACCTGGACAGGGAGGCACTTTATGCATTAACTAGACAATGAGGAAATTTATGTACAGAAAAACCTGTCCTTGGTTAGTCATATGCTCCAAACATACAGTTAACATCTTACTTTCTACAGAGTGCTAGCTCCCTGCTCCAGTCTGGGTTTATCATATGCTCCAAACACCAGGTTCTGTGGTGCCAGGCTCCATAGGACTTAAACATAGAAACAAAAATAGAAATGGAATATTTAACACTGATAAAAATGGCCCGACCTCTTTTTTAATATTGGAAATATTTCATTTGTCGACTTCAAACGTTTCTTTAATCTTTAAACTTTTAAAATGGCATAATTACATAAATCATATTCATTGAGACCAGCAAATATCATACTAGATCGTTAATAGCTTATAATTGCGATTTTCGGGAAATTAAAAAAAATAATACTTTAGAAATATTGCAAACGGCTAATAAAAAAATTTGCATTAAGAAAATGTTGGCTTTTCCGCGTAGTACTGCGTATTTTATGTAATTAGTTAAAACGAATTAATGCCGCTAAGAATTAGATAAAGACAACAATCTCTATATCTCTATAATCTCTATATCTATATCTCTGTGTTTGTCTAAATGTACTTAATTTACCTTAGGATTAGCAATTAAACATTGTTGGGTTAAATCTAGTTCAGAGGATAACATTTCATCCTGAAAACATTTATAGATTTAGCTCGGGTGTTTGTATTTTTTTGTGGTAACTTAATAACCACGGACTATGGCTGGTAGAAACTGTCTTTAAAGTTACGTTTTTAAATGTTATTTTAGGTAAATAATTTTTAATTGTAAATAGATAAAGTTTAAAAACCTGGTCGTGCATGGGGACATTTTCCTCTTTGCCACAATCCACTTCTTCTTGTCCTTTTTCTCCTTCTCCTACATCTTTTTCCTTTTGGGTTCCTAATTTAAAAATTTTATATGAAAGGGTAAGCTATTCTTATAATAATGTTTTTTAACAGTTAGTTTTACTTATCATTTTGTACAAATAAATCTCAAATTTCTATTCTAATGGCAACTGTAAAGTGTGAATCAAGTAAATAGCAAAATTTTATTTTTAGAAACCTATTGTATACATTTTTGAAAGTTTATATTTCAAATCTTCTCTTTGTTTTTACTGCATAGGTTTAAAAAGCAGTTGATCATAATCGACTAAATATCAATGCAGACTGAAACATCTGATTTGATTTTAATTAGTAAAGGACTATATCAGATAGTAAGTAACTAAGCAATACAAAGGCGCGAAGCACACTTACATTACCTAGATTGATATAATGCAGAAGCACACTTACATTACCTAGATTGATATAATGCAGAAGTATTTCCTTCCTAATATTCCATAGAGTTGATATATCAGGGTTTCCTTGGAGAACCTGTGCAAGTATCATTATTATCATCGCTATCATCAAAATCATTTAAAAACCCAAATCGATACTTATGATCCTCTGAAAAATGTTGTTTCATGACATCGACACGAAATATATATTTAGTATTTTCTAATTTAAAGGGACTGCTAACATAATTTCAAGAGACTCTCCATTGACATAAAAGTCTGATTCACACCGATACCCATGTCTGATCACTTATTAATCAGAAATTCATGTTTTTGAAAACTGAATATTTACATTTCTATACTGAAGTGAGAACAGAAACAGAAGAGAAATCATCGAGAATAAATGTAGCAGCTAGAAAAATACGTTATCTTCCACATTGTGAATCTGGCAGGCCTGTATTTCGATGAAGGCTTTAAAAAAGTATACAAATACCCACTTAACTTCTTTCTACTGTTCTATAAGAGTAAATCAAGTTTGTCATAAACAGACACAAAACGAATTTCAAGTTCACACACTAAAGCTATAACAGGATTCACGACACAATACTTTATTAATAAATGAAAAGAAAACTAATTTAAGGTTGATTGATGGATAATGTACAAGAGTCTTCCTTAACGTCACAATCATTTTACTTCTCCTCGTACCAAAGATCGTCGTAGACTAACTCCCTAGAACTGCAGGTTGACCTACCACCCCCAGGTGAATCGTTGGTCGGAATTCCCGACTCTTCACGGACCCCACTTGGCTTGGGGTTAAAAATAACTTGAGCTATATACAAACAGAGAATAGGGATAAATATTTTCTCCGTAATTATTTACACTACAAAAAGATCATACCCTCGACCACTATACTACTGACATTTGGCAGACAAATCTATGTAAAAGTTTAAATTATCTATATACCTGTCCGTGCGTGACTAGTTGCTGATCAAGTTATCTAAACCTGTCCTGATATGACTAGTTGCTGATCAAGTTATCTAAACCTGTCCTGATATGACTAGTTGCTGATCAAGTTATCTAAACCTGTCCTGATATGACTAGTTGTTGATTAAGTTATTTATACCTGTCCTGATATGACTAGAAGCTGATCAAGTTATCAATATACCTGTCCTGATATGACTAGAAGCTGATCAAGTTATCTATATACCTGTCCTGATATGACTAGAAGCTGATCAAGTTATCTATATACCTTGTTCTGAAATGACTAGTTGCTGATCAAGTTATCTATATACCTGTCCTGATATGACTAGAAGCTGATCAAGTTATCAATATACCTGTCCTGATATGACTAGTTGCTGATCAAGTTATCTATATACCTGTCCTGATATGACTAGTTGCTGATCAAGTAATCTATATACCTGTCCTGTTATGACTAGTTGCTGATCAAGTTATCTATACCTGTCCTGATATGACTAATTGCTGATCATCCAGTTTTCCTTCTGCTCTTCTGCTCAACAGTACACCCATAGCCTACAGGGAATAGTACATTAGTACATACAGGCACAGTACATTACTACACACAGTAATAATCAGTAAAAAGTAACAAATTTTACGTAGCGAAGTATTTTGTAATTTGTAAAGTCAAAAATCTCTCACTTCCAGAGTTGTAACAATTATAAATGACAAGATTGTTACTAATTATAGTAATTTAGACTTTAAAAGAGTTGCGTTCCACTCTTTATTGGTAAATATTTTAGTTATTATTATTATTATTATTATTATTATTGAAAGAGAGCCCTGCATTCAAAGAACTAGGGGTTGGCGCTCCTAACCGCCAAAAGGTATCCATGGGACCCGCGGATCTCTAGGGAGAAGACTTACTACAGGAGAACTGCCTGAGACAGTTCCATTTTTTTAGCTTTTCTCAACAAAATAAAATAAAATAAATAGTTTTTTTATTTAACACAGCTCGAGCTTTAAGTTAACTGATGCTGTTAAAAAAATATCTGTTACAAAAATAAGAAATTTAAAAAAACATGAAAAGTTATCATAATAAAATTATTTTGGGCTCCATTAATATTTCTTTAATTCAAATTACAGCTTTAATGTTAAAGAAAAGTTAATAATTATTCTCTCAATAAAAAACACTTCCATAGTAAAACTGTAAATGAATTTATGTTTAAAACTATTTGATTTTATAAACAAAGTGAATCTTACAAATCCTCTTAAATCCTTCAACTTTAAAACTCTGACAACTGAACTAGCTAAAAAATGGAAATTATACTTTTCTATAGGCGGCCAGCTTTGCATCTCGTTCTATCTTCTTCTCCTTCTCCTGCTGCTCAGTCGTTTTCACTTTTACTCTTCCGTGCATTTTCACCTGGAATCTGAAATGTCGTCTTCAAGAAATAAATATTTTCTTTTTTAAATAACTTGGTGGTAAAAAACTAGAAATATCACAAATTAAAATTTAAAATAAGTTTTGAAAAAGAAAAGGTAAAAATAGCGTGTTTTTCATATATTCCAGTTTTCAATTTTATGCTTGAGCAGCATGTGTCTCTTCATATGCCATTTTCGAGACATTCTTTGCTCACATAAAGTACAAGAAAATAAAATACCCATATGCTTGCTTTCTTTGTGCTCCTTTAAGAGCGAGGGGCGTCGAGCATTATATTCACACTGATCACAGGGATAGAACGTTATGTTGCCATGAATGGTTATCTTGTGGTTGCGTAAGTGCAGTTTACAGGCAGCCTAGAAAGAAAAAATATTTTATCAAATAATTTTACAGAAAATCATAAATTAAACCATGCCTTAAAGTCGCATTTATCGCAGAAGAAAGCTTTGTCTCCATGCATCTGTTTCCTATGTTGACCAAAGACCCGTCGATACGAGGTTTGAAAGTCGCACTGGTCGCATAAATACTTTTCCCCTCGGTGTCGAGCTTTAACATGATCTGTCAGTTCACCATTCCTAGATTTAAAAATATCTACATTCATAATTATATCTATATATAAATAAAGTTGTAATCTCTGTTTGTCTGTTTGTTTGTCCAATCATAACTCAGGAACCCCTGGACCGATTTGTCTCAAATTTTGATTGAGGAACTAAGTAGAACCACGGGAATCTTTTGAAGTTCAAAGATGAGTGGGTCGACTTTCATCGGGAAAAAAGCTTAAATCGTAAATGACGACCAAGTGCGGGTACACGGTGGGACTATCTAGTCTCTGTATAAAGTAATAGCTTAATTCCTGGATATGAATGGTATATGAGGGAATTTAAGTAAAATCATAGAAATAAGGAGAATTAAAAAATTTACCTGAAACCTCCCCCCTAACTTCGTTTTTGTTCATGCAGATAATTTACCTAATGAACCGAGATCCACATTCAGCGCAGATAAACCTCTTCAGTTTAAGATGTGAAGATATTATGTGATTCTTTAGAACATAACTCTGTAATGTTCGGAACTCACATTGGTCACATTGATACCCATCTCCCTATTTAAATATTATGTTGATTAGATCAGAAAATCCAAAATAATTAACGATTAATATGTAAATTGTAAATTAATGGAAGAAAAAGAAACAATCTTTATATGTTATATTAAAATAAATATAAAGACTTCTAAAAAATCTAATTTTTAGAAAATTGAGAAAATAAAACAATTTAAAGATTACAAATAGATTACAAATCTATATAATTCACTATAGCCGGCCAAACGGCTGGACCGAATGGGCTAACATTTTTTGAGGGAACCAATGGGTACCCTGGGGGGTGACATTTCATCAACAATTCGATTTTTTTCTTCTTTAAAATTCGATTTTAAAAAATTCTACGGGCAACGCCGAGCACTTCAGCTAGTATCAAGTAAAGGGAAAATGTGTAAATAATTGAACAAGCTAATCAAAATAAGAAAATTGATTTAAATCAATAGAAAAACTATTAATTTCTACTGAACCTTATTATGCTTCATAAAAAGATGTCTATTTAAAGTTACTCTTTTATTTGCAACAAATCCACATGCCTCACAATGCATCTCTTTATCCTCTCTAGGCAACAAAGAAACAACTATCATTTTTAAACTGATTAAAATATGTTTAATACGATTTAAATCGGTTTAGATATGAGGCAGTTTTATTAAAAACATAATTTAGCTATTAAGAGCCAATCATTAAGTTTTACTCGTAAAGTAGTTTCTCTCATATATTTTCTTAAAAAATGTTTCTTTTATTTGAAAATTTCTTTTGTTTAATCAGAAGAAAATACTGCCACAGAATTTCTTCTGGAGAGTTTTGGACTTGGGACAATCAACCCTCGTGCGTCAGGGAAATCATTTCTTAACAACCAGATTTGTTAGCAACAAAAAATACAAGATTAATTTTATGGAAAGAGATAATTGTTTCCTCCTGTCACTTGCCTTCTATGTGAGTTCCTGTGTTCTGAGAATAGTTCCTGAGTTGGAAGAAGAAGATCACATTTAGCACAATGGTAATCCTTCGCTCCGTGCTCAGACACCCTGTGTAGCCTAAACATAGGTTGATTGATTGATTGGAGCTTATTTCCTTTAGTTTCAGAGCGTCCCATATTATATCTCCAAGTTTAAACCTAAAAATACGCAAAAAGAATACAAACTCCGAAATGATTCTTTTAAATATTTTCTGATAATGTCCAAAAATCCAAATGTATAGCTCAGCACGATCTAATTTGATGATGTGGGACACCCTGCAGTTTACGGCGAGCTCCCCACACCATAAGCCGGAATCCGCTCGCACCAATACTGAATAATCCGAAAATAAGACGACATTCAGTCTTATCTGATATAAAAAAACGATTAATATGAAAGTTTGAAACTGGCTCGAGTAAAGATTTTATTAAAACTTTCATAGTAGAATTTCTATCCATACATGGAAGCAAATTTAACAAAATTATCTTCATGGAGATCAAACAGAACTACTTACTTAAATTGCCGTGGTCCGTAAGTGGTGTACTCGCACTGCTCGCATGAAAATAAGTTCTCATTCTTCCTTTTTCCTCGAATACTTTCTTTAATGGGTTTTCTTTTCTTTCCTTCATTTGCTTCTTTATTTATATTTATCAATTTTGTTTTGTGAGATCTTTGTGGTTTTTTCCCAGCTTTGGTTTTAACAATTGCTTTGGGAGCATCATCTTGAAATCCTTTAATGTCATGTTCGGTTTTATCTTCATTTACATCTTCTATGTTTTCCTCAGCTTTATCCTCCGTAACATCTTCTATATATACCTCTTCCCCTAGTTCTAGTTTTATTTCATCAGAGCAATCTGGCAACCCTAAACATTTCATAATTAGTTAAAAGAATCCCCCCCCCCCCCCCCCCCCCCCCCCCCCCCCCCCCGAGGAGTTTGAGTTTTGGAGATCTGGGGAAAAACTTTAAATTGGACATGAATAGGCAAGTCTTCAAATCTTTTTTTTCGTTCTTTTTTACCCCAAAAATCATTGATGTTCCCAAATTCAGCAAATAAAATCCCAAATATTTTTTTTCAAAAGAGGCGGTGGGGGGGAGGGGGGAGAAAAAGTAAACTACAGTTTAGAAGCTCTCGTAAAATATCTTTTTAAAATGTTTGCCCCAATTCTAATTTTACTTCACCGGAAAAATCCTTAATTTTCCCAAATGTTTCAGTGATAAAAACCCCGATATTTCAAGAAATATTTACTCCAGCAGACAGGGGGCGTAGACAAGGGGGCTATGGGATTAAGCCCCCCCCCAAAAAAAATTCCTGTATACACACCTGGAAGAGACAAAGTTAGTTCCTTCTTCATATTCTCAGCAACCTCCCTCTCTTCAATACTATCTTTATTTATAACCTCCCAATCAGCCTCGAACAGATTCAAGACTCTTTCTGTCCTCTCAGAGACCTCGGCAGCCTCTTCTATCTTTTTCAACATGTTCTCTATTCTCAAACATATCTCAGGCACTACAAGGAAAGGACCAATATACACTATACAAGGTTACCCACAAAGGATGAGACTGTAAAGACGATCTAAAACTTTTTAAATATGACGATTCAGAGGTTAGATTATGTTGTCTGCTCTAAAGCAGAGAATCCTAAATGTCAAGAAAGAGACAGCATACATTCAGAACAGTCGTCTCTGAAGTCTCATCCTTTGTGATTCACCCTGTATAATCTTTTTTTTGGCAGCGGCCAAACTCTGTTACACTTATAATTTATTGCGGCATTCGCGAGTAACAGAGTTTGGCCGCTCCCTTTTTTTAATTAAAAAGTTAGTTTGATATTTTTCCTCGGCGTAGAACTTTCTTTTTCCAATAAAAATAACTTCAGATAAACGTGAATTTGTAAACCCAAATAAAACTTTTAAGATCTTCCTACACCCTAAGCTCAAAATGACTGTATTAAATTAGCTTATAAAAACAGAAAGACTGCAGAGTGTAGATAATTATGAGGTAGGTGAATTTTAATATTATTATTATTCAAAGAATAGAAGAAAAATTATCAGTTTAAATTTTAGTTACTTTTAAAATGTCAGGTCACTGAAAAATGTTGTCGACATATTTTTCAAATACCTAAGTTTTCGAGTGAAGACCCTGTTTCTAGTTTCTCTTTAAAATGAGCTCCTGCCAGGGCCGGTAGTCCTGGGTGTACCCGACCTAACCACAGAACAACCAGGAGGTTCAGGTGGGACTGGGTTAAAATGTCGTTTTTAGTCCGGACCAGGTGTGTTTGCTGATGTAAAACCATTCGGGAGAAAAACTCTTCGTAAGTCTCGTCCTAAGAGCGAAGAAAATCAGAAAATTTCTTATAATTTATCAAAATAAATATCTGTAGTGCTTTTCCACGAAAATTATCCAAGAAAACATTTAAACCGAATCCAAATCCGATGGAAAAGATGTTGATGTTCGATATTTGCAGAAATTTGTGGAATTTTGTAAAACTTTAACGATGTGAGTTAACCAATTTATCTTTTGAATTCATTTCAAGGCAGTCCGATGAAAATAAAGCACAGTATCTCACTTAAAGGGATTGTAAGCGTAATTTCAAGTGATCCTCCATTTAAAGATACCAATGCCCGCTTAACAACAACATCCTAGGAAAGGTTTTTCTGATTAAATGTGAATGATATATCAATGTTTTTGTTTCTTTTATTAGCGGGAAGTCTACGAAAGTGACTTGCGTATTCCTTGTTAATAAGAAGCAAAGGAGAAACTCACAGAAATAAACATTTTTCGACTCAGAACAACGCAGTTTCTTCCACTTTTTTGATCAGATTAACGCTTCAAGGGTACCGTTGTAATCAGACATTCCAATCTTTAAATAAAGGGTCACTTGAAATTAAGCGTGTACGCGTACACTGTACAGTCCCTTTTTATATGTTGATAATCAAGCTACAGGTAAAACAATTTGCTTTAGATCAACATATATGACGTCTTTCTATTACGCAAGTTCCTATTGTAGGGGGGGGGGGGGGGGGGGGGAGGGAGACAAAGAGTTGAAATAGATTAATATATTTTCAACTGAAGGAAGGAACATTGGGCACATTTGATTTAAACAAATCTAATGCAGACAGCTTATCAGTTTCTATATTTGTCAATGTACAGTGTGACCAATTAAGCTGAACGGAAGACGTTTTTCAGACTTAATTTATGATTTTGAACAGTCTAATGAACACGAGATACAGCAATTGAGAAGTGTGCACAGCAACAGTTGAAGTTCTTTACGATTTTAGTTGATTTTCAATCTTCTTGTTAAACTGTCTGCGTAATATTCTCTTTAATATTGCATTAATATCGCCTTCCTATTCCACAGTTGTATGGGTCCAACTGTATAATAACATGTCAACCATCCTTCCGTGATAAAAAAATCAAGGACAAGTCTCCATCAAAATACCAACTAAACATTCAAAATACCCGCTAAACATTTAACATAAGTTTCATCAGCTCTTTGCCTGTAGAAGCTGATAATCAGCAATCGCAAAAATCCCGTCTTCTCCCGAAACCATTTTAAATCTGAAATGTACAATAAAAAATTCCGAACAAATTCAATCTTTATTTTACATCAAAAAAAATAATATATAATCGTCTTACAGCTCAGGCTGAAAACTCGGCATTCAAAAATAATGAGATTTTAAAAATAAAAAAAAACGGGCAGATTTTCGGTGGTTCAAACTGTTATCACGTTTTAGAATTCCGTTTCCGGTTGGGTGTCGCTTTTTTCTATATCTGGTACAAACACGCCTGTATTCTATATCCGGTCCAAGCGTGTCTGTATTTCTCGAAATCTGTTAAACAATATATAAGACCAAGAGCAACAATAAAGTACTATACAGTGAACAATCAAATCATATCATATCATGAAGGTTAGGGATTGCTTTAGGCTCCGTTATGCGCGTGACGAGGGGTTTCAATTCACTCTGCACTCAGGTTTTTTCCGAATTTATTTGGTTCCATATAAATTGGCCTGGGCTATAAGAGGAGTTTCTACAAATGATTAATATCTCGTAATGATCCCACATGATTTGAACCAGTTTAGTCAACACCAGTTATAAGCAGAATAAAAGTTATCTTATTAAAAAGATTCCAGATTTGTCTAATGTTAGAAACGATTTGATATGCTCAGAATTTCTAATTGCAATGCTTAAAAAGCATGACTTTCTTTAAATTTTACTCGTTATGGCTCTATTTAGTCCATACTAGGACATAGTAACTATATTGATCCCCCTTTAAAAAGTTACTTAACAACAAGGTTAACATATTGAAATTGGTAAATTAATAAATAATGTCCACAAAGGAAGGCTTTTTTCTTCTGTGACCAATAAGAAGATGAATAATTCAAAACGATTATGCTTTGTATATCAGAGATCGAATAACATTCTTCTATTTGACCTTAGAATCATCTATGTCTACAATTATCTTGTTTATTACTTTTTTGGATCCAATTAATGCCAAATCGTTAAAACCGATCGGGTGACAAGTAGTGTGGGACAGGTTTAGGATCGGGTGACAAGTAGTGTGGGACAGGTTTAGGATCGGTCAGAACAAAAGAGTGACGCGAGGCGTTCAGAAAAAACCTAATAAAAGTAAGCAAAGGTTTCTATATTGTTTCCTGTCAATCATGGCTGCAGAATCCTGGGTCTGCTTCATATACAGTTCTCCAAGATAGGCGGATACAGCATCCTAAATTAAAATATAAACTTGCTTTCTTTAAACTTTTACATTAATGATTATTAGTATCAATAATCATTAATCAAGCTACAAACACAGTAACAGTTCAGATGGTAGAGCTCCGCCACTTAACCTGGTCTATGCGAGTGGAGGCTAAGAACATCCTGTCTTGCAAATAAAAGGCGTATACACACACAATAAACATCCACCATACGAAAGTACGCACACAAGCATATCATTATACAGTGTACATATTCGGAGAAAAACGTACCTGGGAAACTACGACAAACTGCCTGCGGTCCTGGAGTGAGACGACCCCCGGGTTCTCGGCGAAGTTTGCGAGAATATAACTCAAAACTCGGAGAATATGAAGCTCGTCTCCACACGTCAACCAAACACTCTCCTGAAAAACAAATCCTGTTATCAACATTCGGTAGCCGGGGTGGGTCAACTCTTACCTTAGCTAGATATATCCTGTTATAAACATCCAGCAGCCGGGGTGGGTCAACTCCAATATTCTGTAGACAGGATGGAACCCAGGTATAATCTCCACCTCCTTCACTACACGAGGCAACCTCTAGTTTACGAACCAGGAACTCAAGGGGGAAATATTTACTTGAGGTGATGAACAGTCGACCCAAACTCTCAATCTTTCCACTGAACATCAAATTGTACTATTGTCCATTATTTAAAAAAAATATATATTAAAGAGATTGTAATATTATAAAGATTGAAATATTAGAGAGATTGTAATATTTAAGAGATTGTAATATGAAAGAGATTGTAATATTAAAGAGATTGTAATATTAAAGAGATTTTAATATTAAAGAGATTTTAATATTAAAGAGATTGTAATATTAAAAAGATTTTAATATTAAAGAGATTGTAATATTAAAGAGATTGTAATATTAAAGAGATTGTAATATTAAAGAGATTTAGAGATTGTAATATTAAAGAGATTGTAATATTAAAGAGATTGTAATATTAAAGAGATTGTAATATTAAAGAGATTTTGTAATATAAAAGAGATTGTAATATTAAAGAGATTTTAATATCATGGCGATTGTAATATGCATGCTGCTTTATAGACGGAGACACTAGAAAATACAACGTGAATCTGGCATGCTGCTTTATAGATGGAGACACTAGAAATTACGTAGTGAATCTGGCATGCTGCTTTATAGATGGAGACACTAGAAATTACATAGTGAATCTGGCATGCTGCTTTATAGATGGAGACACTAGAAATTACGTAGTGAATCTGACATGCTGCCTTATAGATGGACACTAGAAATTACGTAGTGAATCTGGCATGCTGCTTTATAGATGGAGACACTAGAAATTACGTAGTGAATCTGGCATGCTGCTTTATAGACGGAGACACTAGAAATAACGAAGTGAATCTGCCATGTTGCTATATAGATGGAGACACTATTGAAATTACAAAGTGAATCTGGCATGCTGCTTTATAGATGGAGACACTAGAAATTACGTAGTGAATCTGGCATGCTGCTTTATAGATGGAGACACTAGAAATTACGTAGTGAATCTGACATGCTGCCTTATAGATGGACACTAGAAATTACGTAGTGAATCTGGCATGCTGCTTTATAGATGGAGAAACTAGAAATTACGTAGTGGATCTGGCATGCTGCTTTATAGATGGAGCCACTAGATATTACGTAGTGAATCTAGCATGCTGCCTTATAGATGGAGACACTAGAAATTACGTAGTGAATCTGGCATGCTGCCTTATAGATGTAGACACTATAAATTACGTAGTGAATCTGGCATGCTGCTCTATAGATGGAGACACTATAAATTACGTAGTGAATCTGGCATGCTGCTTTATAGATGGAAACACTAGAAACTATGTCCTAAATTGAACCTAAAAAAATAAGCAAAAATATTAGGTAATATCTGTTGAGTGTTAAAATATACGAGTTGCTATACAAATCAAATCAAATCATTAGTTTCAAGGATTGCTTTAGGCTCCTTCATGCAAGGTGGGGTTTCAATTCACCGTGCACTTCGGTTTATCAGCTTGGATCCACATAGATTTATTATTTTTGTTATATTGACTCGGATTGAAATCATTAATACCCGCTCCCAGCAGCTGATCAAATTTGAGTCATGCCTCCATTTTGCGGAACCAATCATTAATAATTTGCAGTAAAGTATAAGAAAGAAAAAATCCTTAACTTTTAGATAAATGAAAATGATGTAGTAAGTTCCTTTTATGAACGTACTATTGTGTGAATAACAAGTTACCTGATCGCTGTTTTTTTGGTTTGAAATTCAGAAGTCCCATGACGACCAAGCTCCCTTAAAAAAAGTTTTTAAGATTATTTTATTAGAGGACGGGGTGGGGGGGGAGGTTGGCGCAAATTTAATGGGATGGTCTATATATTTCATTCTCTCCCTGGGGAAAGAACAGTATTCCAGAAAATGGGAAGATTGAAGGAGAAAACATAATGCAATGAATTGTAGCTTTTTACCGATTAGATAGAAGTTGATGTTTTCTTGTTAAGATGGGACAGGCAAAAAGACATTACCCAGGTTGCCTAAGGAGTTTAAGATGGAATCATTCATCGTGTTTCCGATAAAAAAACTTATTAGTGTCAACTGACCTGTCAATAATATTAGTCCAGATACTCTGTATAAGAAGAGGATCAGGATGACCAGCAGTTGCCAGGATAGCCAGCTTACACTCCCATAGTTCATAAGGTTCAGCCCAATCCTTCATAATAATAACATTAATAATAATAATAATAGCCAGATCACACTCCCAATGACAATAATGATAATAATAATAACTAGCTGAAGTGCCCGACGTTGCCCGTTTTATTAAAAAATCGAATTTTATAGGACCCATGGGTTCCCTCAAAAAAATTTAGCCAATTTTGTTCAGCCGTTTGGCCAGCTTTAGCTAACATATATAGAAATTAATACATATATATGAGCGAAGATTGCTTTATTATATAATATCTAGATATAACCATAGCAATAATCAGAACAGCTTCTCAGTTTTCATAATTATTAATACAAATTGTTTCGGATTGCTCCTCTTCAGTTAATTAACATGGTATATTTCAAAGTGTAATCCATGTTACGGAGTTAAATTGAGTAAACCTGGTAGAGAGTTGTAATATCTAGAAGATCACTGTTCAGCTTAGAGATCAATCCTGCGGCCTCAGGTATATTAGAGACAGCTTCTAGAACCATTAACTGCACTCGGGCAACCTGCAATCAAGAATTATTTACAAATATTAGTTATATTAGATTTAGAAGATATTCAGAAAAATGCGTTGCTGCAGAATTTCTTCTAGAACTTAGATAGCTAAGACTTCCAATCCTCGTACATCCTTGAAATCTTCTCTGGATTGTTATGTAGATTGACCCTTCCAATACCCCAGAACAAATCCCTTCAGCATATAACTATCCGATTGTCTTTAATACAAGGGTCTTTAATCATTTAGAATTTTGGAAGATTCAGGATTTTTTTTTTAGGATTTTCCTTACATCATTTTAATTTCCAGACTTAATTTTGAATTTCCTACCTCCAAATACATTTACATTTCCCCTTAATTTGGACTTTTCTACATTCAATTTAAGTCTCTTATCGTCCGTTTTCTACATCCATTTTATGTCTCTTATCGGCTTTTTTCTACATCCATTATAAGTCTCTTATCGTCCGTTTTCTTCATCCATTTTATGTCTCTTTTCGTCCCTTTTCTACATCCATTATACGTATCATATCGTCCCTTTTCTACATCCATTATAAGTATCATATCGTCCCTTTTCTACATCCATTATAAGTCTCTTATCGTCCGTTTTCTTCATCCATTTTATGTCTCTTTTCGTCCCTTTTCTACATCCATTATAAGTCTCTTATCGTCCTTTTTCTGTGTTTTACCTCTATATCTATTTAGTATGGATTTCCTCCTTTGAGTACATTACCTCCATTTAGTATTGATTGCCTCCTTTGAGTACCTTACCTCCATTTAGTAATGGTTACTTCCTTTAGAAGATCATCTCAATTTCAATTTTTTACCTACAGATTTGAACTTTCTACCTCAAATTATATTTTCAAACGATAACACGGCCCATTTCAAATCATTAATTTCCTTGTTTATCTTGTAACCTCTATGTTTATTACCTCCATTTTCTCCTCTAGATGATGGAGTAGCTCCCCCGCCCCCCTGGTATTGGTTCCTGCCCCGCCTTCTCCTCCACTCTTGACACAGAGGATTGCTCTGCTCAGGTATTCAACCCTACTGCTCAAACTCAACTCAGTACTAAACAATTAATAAATTAATTTTGAAAAGAAGTCCTTATCAGTCTAGGTCACTTGACTCCTCAGCCCCTCCCTCTAATTACTGAGATGTGAGCCTCAAGAGAGGGAGCCTGTATTGACCACAGTGTACACTATTTAGAAACTGCACTTTATTACGAGTTTTAAAAACTAAAATAAGACAAAGGACCGTACTGTGTACACTATTTAGAAACTGCACTATATTACGAGTTTTAAAAACTGAAATAAGAAAAAGGACTGTTCAGTGTACACTATTTAGAAACTGCACTATGTTATGAGTTTTAAAAACTGAAATAAGACAAGGGACTGTACAGTGTACACTATTTAGAAACTGCACTATGTTATGAGTTTTAAAAACTGAAATAAGACAAGGGACTGTACAGTGTCCACTATTTAGAAACTTCACTATGTCATGAGTTTTAAAGACTGAAATAAGACAAAGGACTGTTCAGTGTCCACTATTTAGAAACTGCACTATATTATGAGTTTTAAAGACTGAAATAAGACAAAGGACTGTTCAGTGTCCACTATTTAGAAACTTCACTATGTCATGAGTTTTAAAAACTGAAAAATAAGACAAAGGACCGTACAGTATTTAGAAACTGCACTATGTTATGAGTTTTAAAAACTGAAAAATAATACAAGGGACTGTACAGTGTACACTATTTAGAAACTTCACTATGTCATGAGTTTTAAAAACTGAAATAAGACAAAGGACCGTACTGTGTCCACTATTTAGAAACTTCACTATGTTATGAGTTTTAAAGACTGAAATAAGACAAAGGACCGTACAGTGTACACTATTTAGAAACTGCACTATATTACGAGTTTTAAAAACTGAAATAAGACAAAGGACCGTACTGTGTCCACTATTTAGAAACTGCACTATGTTATGAGTTTTAAAAACTGAAATAAGACAAAGGACCGTACAGTGTACACTATTTAGAAACTGCACTATATTACGAGTTTTAAAAACTGAAAAATAAGACAAAGGACTGTACAGTGTCCACTATTTAGAAACTGCACTATGTTATGAGTTTTAAAAACTGAAAAATAAGACAAGGGACTGTACAGTGTCCCACGTGATTTCAAGTGAACATCAAAGAGTTGCATAGGCCCGATTAACAATGATACCGCTTACGTCTTAATCTGAGCAACAATGAGGAAGATATCGTCGTTATTCTATCATAAAACGCAATAAAATTTGGGTCAATTTCACTTTATCAGTTATCATGATCGCCATTTTACAGAGAGAAACAAATTGAAAATGATTAAATACAAGAATACATTCGCCTTTTTTGCATTGCCATTTACGCCTCTATTTGAAAAGCACTGAGGAAGATTTCGTCATTGAAATCTGATAATTCTCGTTCCTGTTTTTCTGTCGCTAAAAAATCTGAACAATTTCACAGATTTTTATCTTTACTGATATCTCCGTCAATTTTACTCAGACAAAGATGTAAAGTGTGTGTAATGAGCTGGGAACTTTAGAATGGGATACCTTTAACCCTGACTGCTTAATCCGAATATCCACTGTGAACACTTTTAATTTCATGTTTAATTCACTCTTTTTAAAATATAAGGCAGAAAATTCAAAAACTGGTTTTTCAAAACTAGAGAGTCCCTCCCGTTTCTGTATATTAAACTTAAATGTCGCGCAAAATTTTAAATCTCCCGGCTCCTGATACGCGACTCTGATTGGTTGAATTTTATACACTTTCAGGATACAAGTACAAGATTAGGTTAGTCTCGAGATTAAGAAAAAGAGAGGATCAAGCATTGATCTCGATATCCACCATTCTAAAGTTCCAAGCTTTAATAGTGAATATAATATGGTACTCTTTGAATGGAGGAGAGGAAAATTATATTCTACCTGTGTCGTTCGGAGAGTTTATCTAGAACCTTCGCTGCTAGGAAATATTGTGAGTTCTTCTCGTAATACTTCCACATTATATCGAAGAGAGCCAGCTGTTCAGGATGCTGCGCAATGCCGCGCTTCAAGAAGTTCTCCAGGTAGGCAGATTTCACTGACAGCAGACGGTCAGTGTATCGGTTATCTATCAGCCATTGGTATAGGGTGGCGTGAAGCATCTCATCTTCAGAGTTAACCATGAGTTTAAACACTTCCTCAGCCCATTCAGATGCCTAGCAATCAAATATCATGAAAACTGGGGTTACAACATTTGAATGAGATAGCGCTAATCTACAACACTTGATCTTGATATCTAATATGGCAACTTAAACAATTTGAGGAACACGTGCTTGATCCCTTTGACCACGGAATATTCATGAAGAATTCATTTAATCCTTCAGACGAAAAAAAGATTCAGATTAATGATTGATTGCCAAGCAGTTAAAATATTCTGGTCATAGGAAACTATTATGTGAATTATCAAAATTATCAAAATTTAATGCTTTTAACCTCTTCGGATACTAAACGAACACTGATGTATCTATTATTGTTTACAAATTCCGCCCTGAGTGAACTGGTTTCAATATGTAAGCAGAGTATACGCAACTGCAATTAACTTTCCTTGCTTTATAACCTTGATTTGATTTATCTATTTATATAAAGAAGTAATATCTGTTTGTTTGTATGTCCGATCATAAGTCAGGAACCCCTTGACCAATTTGCCTCAAATTTTATTTGGGGAATTCGGAAGAACCCTAGGAATGCTCTTAGCTTGGTTTTAAGATTCTTAATTCAGTGGGTTCACTTTTTTAGGGAAATTGCAATTTTCCGTTAATGCTTGGTTTCAAAGCCAGTGGACTTATAAAATACAGTTGCGAAGACGGGACTATAGCATCAAATCAAAGTTTTAGGTAAAGTGAACTTAAATCTTCATAGAAGAAATTGTCAAATCGTCGTTTTAAGAAAACTCAGTTCTGTAAATTCGCGACCAACCATTAACAGAAATTAATATTTAATCATTCCCGTTTTTTGTAAATAATCCCTCCCCTTATTGCCATTCTTGAAAATATTCCTCCACCTCGTTCACTCATTACCTGAAGTGAATTTGACGGAGAAGGTTTTTATTCTCGTTTGAGAGATTGTTTACAACAAGATGAACTTGATGATCAACTACAACCATCCATAATCCTAGCACCTAGTTAATAATATTAGATTAAAGATGAACTTGATGATCAACTACAACCATCCATAAACCTAGCACCTAGTTAATAATATTAGATTAAAGATGAACTTGATGATCAACTACATTCATCCATAAACCTAGCACCTAGTTAATAATATTAGATTAAAGATGAACTTGATGATCAACTACATTCATCCATAAACCTAGCACCTAGTTAATAATATTAGATTAAAGATGAACTTGATGATCAACT